CTTTCACATTTACAGTTTCAACACTTTTTTTTTAAACTTTTAGCTTCGTTATGATGATGAAGTAAAAAGAGTTGTTGCAGAACCAGTTGAATTGGCCCAAGAGTTCAGAAAGTTTGATCTATCAACACCATGGGAAACATTTCCTGCCTACAGAGCAGAAAAGAGTCCTGTAGAGGTGATAGCTGCTCCAAAAGAATCTAAACCAGAGGAGGATAAGAAATGATTTTCTCTTTCCTGTCGATAGAACCAGGTAAAGAATAATGTATTTTGTTATAATTGTTGATTAAATAATTATAGAAGGCTGTATCTATACTGATACAATTGTTAATATATTAAACCAGCTGATTAGAAGGATGTATCTACATTGATTCAATTGTTAGTATGTTAAACCAGCTGATTAGAAGGATATCTCTACCCAGATACAATTGATAGTCTGTTAAACCAGCTGATTAGAAGGATATCTCTACCCAGATACAATTGATAGTCTGTTAAACCAGCTGATTAGAAGGGTATATATATATCCTGATACAGTTGTTATTGTGTTAAACCAGCTGATTAGAAGGCTGTATGTATATCCTGATACATTCATGATGTTAGAAAAACACGTTGGTTCAAGACGTCTTAATAGAAATGAATAAAAATCCTATGACCTGAGAGCTTTCAAAATGTGGACCTATCTTCTTCAGGGGTAAACTGATACCATTGTCAGCATGTTAAAGTAGCTGATACAATTGTTAGTATGTTATATCAGCTTAATAGAAGGATGTATATACATATCCTGATATCGTTGTTAGTGTTTTAAACAAGGTAATTATAAAAGGACAATTTTTTCATTTGCACATTTTATTTCCATGTGTTCTTACCTTCTTTTGTTATTATTAAAAATATAGGAAAAAGCTGTCTGTTGTTATACAGGATTTGTAGAGATAAAATAATGTGATTATTGACTTGTGTGAAGTTATTGTAGGTATTCACTCTTAAGTGGATATGTGAAAGGAAAATTACATCATAGCATAGTTTAAAACAATAGCCCAGGAGTCTGTAAATGCTTAGATATGAAAACGACTTTTTAACAAAGAGCATTTATTCTTAGAATCCAGCACCTTTGGAAATCAAACTCTTGTTATTGTCTGATTGTAAAGTTCAGATTTTTGATTAAGAGTTTGTGATGCTTTATTATTATTGTATGTAACATATTAAGTTTTGTTGTTGTTCCTATTTAGAACCAAAATGCTATGATGAAAAGAGTCAGAATAAAAAACGTTTTTCTTTCCATTTTATCTGTTTCGTTTCAGATTGTAGAGTATCCCAGATCACGGTGTGGAAAGGTGACCTACAATACTTGTATTTAATGTTTAAGATGGTGTGAAATAGAAGTTGCTTAGGTTAGAAACCTATAGAGTAAACCCACATTGTTGAATTTAGTTTATTCATGTTTCATAATCTATACAGCTAAATAAAATTTCAAGGTAAAATTCCGTGTCCAATAATTTATTTTCTTTTAGATATTATTTAAAACCTTTCAAAGTTTTTATTATCCATTTCTCACATTGTTAGTCGGCATTATTTACAGATATATAATTTAACAAGCCACTTATTTTAGTGCTAAACATGAACATTACAATCTTTTAAACTGCTCCTAATCTGTATAACCTTTTTAAAGTAGACTAATCAGTATACTGGATTTTGAAAATTTCACAAGCTACTTGCTAGATGTTATATTTAAGAATTAAAATTTGCATTTCCATTTTCTCACTGAATCAATTGGTATTACTTGCATAGATAAGTTTACATGCCACTTGGATAGTGATGTATTCCAGTATACATAAAACTCTCAAATCTGTCTAATCTCTTATCACTGGGTTGCTTTGCATTATTTTGGTTGACAAGTTTCAAAGCCAAATGTCTAATTCTGTACCTTTAATCAGTCAGTCATGGTGTCCTCTCCATTTCTGAGGGTTGATGACTATGGTTCTCCTTTGTCCTTTGTTTTTTCTGCCTACAACAGCTTTCCTAATTCAACTTTTTCACCTCCAATCAATTTTTTTGTATCATTGAGCTAATTGAGTCTGTTTACCTCTCTCTGTTTTTCCTACAATGTTACCTTCTGTAGAATGTACTGGCTGCAAGATTAGACTCTGCAATTGTTTATTTTTTGGTATATTTTTCATTTGAAGTCAACAGGACAATTTTCCAACCATTGTTTTTCATGAAAACTTGAGAACATGTTAGTTATAACAGTTGCAAACTTTGATGCCATATTAGCAACCTTCATTCTGGTCATAGATGGACCCATTAAACATAAAATGTGATTATTTAACTACGGCTTAAAGAAAATAGACAACTAATTTATATCTGAAGATGGAAGACAACGGAGTATACATTTTTGTTGTTGCTGGAACATAAAGAGAGAATAAATTAAAATTTACTGTGTACACAGTACATTAAACTTCAGATGCTATAAAAACTTAGCAAACTCAAAACTGTATTTTAAAGTAAACTGATGATGAAATAATTACCCTGTTACATAAAACTAGTTTATTTTGGATTATATTTACAATAAAAAAGTTTTAAGTGTCATACACTATTCCAGCTTGGCAACCATCAACTGTAATTTTCTCATACACTCTTTCAGATATAATTTTATCTTTAACTCTAAAAGATACTTTTATAATTTTGTTTCTCTTGTTTCAGGTGTTTCTACTTTTGTCTAATATATGCTTTACCTTTATAATATATATAACTTATGATTAAAATAAATGCCATGTTATATTTTCTGACTTTGTCATAAGTAATTCAGTGTGTTTTCCTAGCTTATCTCCTATAAGTATAAACAGAAGACACTGCTAACACGGGTTCTCACACTTTCAAATGTTTCATCGGCAAAATGATATGCATAATAATCCTTCAGTTGTCTCAATAGAGATTCAAAATACATAAATACTGAACTGAAGTGTTTGGAATAAGTTCAAAAGACAACTTGTGTCTAAGGCCTTTTTTCTCAAGATCATTAAGTTAAGAAGACATATTAGTATTAACATCATCAGATTTGTTTAGAAACTAATTCTTGTGTTGAACAGAGCAGAGTGAACTCAATTTAATAAGCAGATTAATTAACTCTACATTGAAAGGAATTATTATCAATAAGGTTTTTTAAATAATGAAATCTAACTTAAAAATGAGCTTTCCAAAGTTGCTAAAGTCCTTTGTCTGTAATTCAGAGTTACATAACTTACACTTATAGTTAATCAAAACTGTGTCTGAACTTTATGTTGTTGTGATATATTGTTGCAGGTTCTTTTAAATTATCTGATGAAAATAATTCAAAGTCTAATCCACATAAACTACAACAGATTAGTTTATTTCTTTCTTAAAGTTTCTACAAACTTATCACTGTGGTGACTATGTAGCCTAAAGAAATACCATGCTATTCTTCGATAGATTGTTTAGGCAGAGTGTTCATGATGAAACTTAGTTGAATGGATGGCAACTGCCTGTTGTAGAAACACAGTGTAGAAGATGATGTTCTGAAAGTCATCTGCCTTTTGTCTTCAGGTTATCATGCAGACATCAGTATAACAAAAGTAAATAACCTTTATATGGACTGGATGCCAATAAAGCATGGTTCCAACAAAGCATCTAACCATACATCCAAGTCATCTACTAGATGGAAGTACAAACATTCATGTTAGACATCCAAGTCATCCACTTGATGCAAGTACAAACAAATTCATATTATACATCCAAGCCAGTTGTAAGTACAAACAAATTAATGCTAGACATTCAAGCTGTCCTCTAGATGCAAGTACAAACAAATTCATGTTAGACATCCAAGTCATCCACTAGATGCAAGTACAAACAAATTCATATTATACATCCAAGCCACCACTAGTTGTAAGTACAAACAAATTAATGCTAGACATTCAAGCTGTCCTCTAGATGCAAGTACAAACAAATTCATGTTAGACATCCAAGTCATCCACTAGATGCAAGTACAAACAAATTCATGTTAGATACCCAAGCCATCCACAAGATATAAGTACAAACAAATTCATATTATACATCCAAGCTACCACTAGTTGCAAGTACAAACAAATTCATGTTAGATACCCAAGCCATCCACAAGATATAAGTACAAACAAATTATTATTACACATCCAAGTCATCCACTAGATGCAAATACAAAGAGATTCTTAAGTCTATCATGAAGAAATAAATGTCCTGTTTTTCCTTTAATCCTCTGATTGCTGTTTTATACCATTCATACTGGTGGAATACAGATATTACATTATTGAGTACCTTTAGGTTTTTTGTCTGTTACAACCAGAATCATTGGTAACAGCAAGGGTGTCTAGCTGATGAATCATCTTAATCATTTTAAGTTTTTGTTTTAGGACACTGTATGCTACTAGTTACTAGTTAGACTGGTGCATTAAATTAGTTACATTACTTAGCAGATTAATTTTTAGTTCTGTTTTGTGTATATAGCTTGCTTTGATCAGATGTTATTGAGGAGTGCTCAGTGTAAAGAGCTGAAAATAAAATAAGAAATCACTCATTTTCCATATCAAAAAAATGGAAATCCCATCAGTAATTAGAGAGATAAATTTCAATATTACTGGTATTTTTGTTGTACTTTTTATGTGGCTCATATGTTATTAAGGATGTAATCTACAGAGTCATGGATCCAACAGCTGTTAATGCATAAGTAGTTTAGAAAGTTGTGTTTATAAAGCCGAGGGATCAATATAAACTTGGCTTTAACCACTGTACTGTAGATGGTATGTTGACAATAGGCTTCAGTCACAAAGTTATGTTAGTAAATGTCTAAAAACTAAACACCCAAATGTAAAGTTTACAGTTGTATGCAAACATAAATTCAGTGTACCATTTTTGGACACTTTGGTACAGGTTTTAATATTGGTGTATATCATAAATTGATGCTTTCGGGATTATATCTTCAGTTTGACAGTTGTTTCTAGAACATTTAAAGCTAACTAAGTAAAAGTTATTGTGATCCGTGCTTACAAGAATGGAAGCAGTTACTTCTATAAGTAGTTCTTTAAGTTAATGAAGGTAATAATAATATGAATGAAATGTTGAACAGATAAAATATGCACGTGTAAAGTCCAAAGTTAGATTTTTCTAAGAAACTAATACAAGAGTTACTATATATAGGAAAACAATCACAACAGTAAAAGAAGTAAGTTTCAATCCCAGGCTGAGTCTTTCTACAAGTAACTAGAATATAATCTCTGCACAACATACTTTCATTACTGATCTTTAGAGTAGACTCAAAGATACTTTTCTTCGTGGCTTTTAAGGTAATATGAGATTAGGAGCAGATGATCTATAACACACTAAAATCGATAAATCTAAGAGTATATTTTGAAAGAAACACTTTTATTTCTAGCTTTAAGACTTTCAAGAATATACTTTTATTACTAATTTTCTACAACATATTTCCTACTTAAAAGTAGACTCTAAATAACATTTTTTCATCATTTTAGGACATACCTTTAAATTACTGGCTTTAAAATATACAGTGCCTTACCTAAGTATTCACCCCCAGCAAAGTTTCTACATTTTGTTGCCGTCTGAGCTTGTAATCATGAAACTCTTATAAATGGGACTTTATATTTAGAATCTACTCCAAACTGAGAAAGCTAAAAAACGCTGATATTATGTAAGTTAGATTTTCATAGAAGATTAGAATATTCTTAATTACATAAGTATGTAAGTGTGAAAGATTAGTTTGAAAGGTCACAAAATTAGTGTAATGATCTCTGTCTGTGTGTAATCAAAGTGGTTTAACTTGACATTAGAGTAAATACATCTGTTCAAGCCACAACTCACACAGTGATACAACAAACCAACAATCAAGACCAAGGAGCTTTCCAAACAAGTCAGGGATAAAGTGATAGAGAAGCAAGAATGAGGAGAAGATTACAATAAAATTGTAAAGTCGCTGATTATCCCTTTGAGTACGGCAAAGTCCATCATTAAGAAGTGAAATGTGCTTCATATCACCCAATCAGAAGTAAATCAGACTTCAATGCCAGAAGGAATCTAGGATGAAGAAGAATAACTTATGTTAAAAGTACAGAGTAAGCTATGTGCTTTTAATAAAACTAAAAATCAATCTGGCCATCAGTATAGCTAATTAAATATATATTTTTTACGTTTTTATAAAGATTAGAATGCATTGTTTCTTGGTCTGATACCCTAGCTGTTAGCGACTGTAAACTCAATAATATCTCGCAAGGTTCAGCTAACTTATGGGACAGCTAGCACAAACAGACCTTGAGCAGCCTTGTGCAAAATATTTTTAAAATAAACTAAAACTTTTCCGTGCTGTACTTGTAATACTACTGTCCCACTATAAAATTTCTGGTATCTGAGTGATTCTTAAAAGATTGGGTATGTTAATTCAGAATTAGGGGTTAATTATGTCTTCAGTTGATTGAATCTTTGG